GTGGTTTTGCCAAAGGTTTCTCCAAACTGATAGTTGTACTGAGGGACGAAGCCCTCGTAGCTGAGGAGGAAACCAAGAAAGAGCAGTCACTGAGAGGGCATTGGAAGGTGTCCACTGGTAGGATAACCTGCTTTAGAGCTCTTGTGCACTGGAAAGGCCAAGGCCAGGAGCACAAACAGCTTGGAGTACATCAGCCCAGGGAAGGTGATTGTACAGGGACGTGCCTGTGAGCATGAATGAGTTTACGCCGCTGGAGCAGCAGCACAAGGGGAGCACCGAGATGTGTGTGGTTACGCACGAAGCCAGACGGGTCTGTGTGTGTTTGCACATGTGTGTTTTTACATGTCAGCATGAAAACTGGCTCATAGATTCATGGGTGTGTATAGGCACAGGCTTGTGCTTTGGTTCACGGAGGAATACGGGACGAGGTCAGGGAGCACGGCCGAAGCAGCACCTGCGGATGGGAAAACTTACAGCGGGAGCACAGCGTGGGCTGCAGTCGCTTTGACAGTGCTGGTGCTGACAGCCCCCAGTTAAACATGCCTCCGTTTTGCATTTTGCAGTCCCTCTCTGTTCTAAAACACAGTGAGTTACTGGGAATTTCCCAGTGTCCCTCGTTCAATATTGAAACTCAAAAAAACAGAAAAATTGCTTGTACCCTCCAAACCTCTCTGGCTCCGTACCCTTCTAGCAAGGAGCGGGACTGGGCTCAAACCCACCCAGGCACCACGTTGCACGGCGGAGGCACGGGCGGGCAGGCAGCGGTTAAGCCCCGGTAACTCGCTCTACTTTTTTTGGGACCTTTGTGCGGGGTGTGTAGCAACACGCTGCTTCTCCGCTCCCCGTGGCCTGGGATGGGCAGTTTGACTTTGTGGTGGCTCAGGGTAGGGCAGGTGCTGGAGCGCTGGCTCCCCTCCCAAGTCCACCAGCACGGATCAGAAAATTTAGCTATTCCCAGTATCAAGTTTCCTAATGACGATGTTATTCCACCACTGAAGAAAGGTAGAGCTGCCAGTTACAGTGTACAGACAGAAATATTCAATCAGTGATCCCACTGCGTATCTGGGGATAAAGCTGGATGATGCATCAGGATCATAAGATGAGTAAGTACTTTCCCTTCCAAATATTTCAAACAACAGCAAGCAGAGCCGTGCATTTACTCTTGGCAAGTTTTCCCACTTTGCATGCAGGATCTCTCACCAGCGGCTGCTGGAGAAGCTTGGTGACTCGTTCCCATTGATTTTCAATGAGTCTTGCAACACAGGGAAGCTACGCCGGAACGATAAAGCAGAGCAAGAGCACAAATGAGAGCGCCTGAATAATTACAGGATGGCCAGAGGTATTTAGATCATGAACAACATAATGGTAGGGCTGAGAAAGGATTCCATTCATAAGCAATTAAAAGCGAGGTAATCCAAGGAGCTCGGGCCAGTCAGTCTGGGTTTATGGCAAAGGGATCTGCTGCAGAGTGAATTACAGGTGCTGCTGATAAAAGCTGCAGCACCTGGGGAAGAGACCAGTCTCAGCAGGGCTGTTTGACCTTCTCCTGCTTGGTATTTTGATTAAGAAACCAGGAAGATCCCCCATTTCTGTAGTTTACACTGAGCCACCGCAGCCACTGACCTCAGACCTCATCGGTGAGCAGTGAGTAACCTGCTTTCCCAAGGCTGAGCCCCATTTCACTCTTCTCTTACTCAGCCATATCTCTTCGATCGCCACTCCCCAGACTGCATCACCTAAACCTGCTCAGCCTTCCTGATCGCCAGGGAAAAGCCTTGGCCCTGGGCCCATCCTCACTCAGCTCCATGCCCTTCCCAGCTCCACCAAGCTGGGATGGGGCAGATAGGGCTGTGCCCGGCGCCTGGGATTCGTGGATTGACCCCTTCTCTGTGAGCCAAGCCCTTCCCAAACCATCCCCCACATTGGGTTTGGCTTCCCAATGCTCTTGAGCACTGCGGTGGCATTTTCAAAGCCCTGGCCATGACCATTGCCCCACCCGAGTGACAGCAACCAGCTTTGATGCCCTCATTCTGTTTGCAGGTTCACCGGCACGGCCGGGTACAGCACATGGGACAGCTGGCGAGATGCTGCGACGTGGCATCTTCCCCCTCCTCCTGCCGACACCCCAGCCCAGGGTGCACCGTCTGCTGGCAGCAGAGCCCGGGCTCCGGCGCTGCCCTTCAGGGCAGCTCCTCCTTGCGCTCAGCCACCCAAACCAGATGCAAAGCAGCACCCTCACCGCCCACGGGGGCTTCCTCTGGGGCTTGGGGTGATGCTTCGAGCCTGCACAGCAGTAGCAGAATTTGGTTCCTCCTCCTGCCTTCAGTGGCTGAGGCACCAGTCTGGAGAGGAGCAGCCCCAGCTGCTGTGTCTGTATTAGGGCTCAAAGCTGCTTCTGGGGGGGCTGTCTGCAGGCAGGAGCGAGCAAGGGAAGGTTTTGAGGCTTTTGGAGGATGCAAGCCCAGCCGCAGCTCCCTCCTTGCTGTTACTCGTCTTTCCCAAGCTGCTGTCAGCGCACAGCTTTGACAGGGTGACAGCATGCACGGAGTTAACACATCACATCGTTCAGACAACCGCAGCAATGCAGAAACGTGTTAAAAACCCCCAACCCCAGAGCTTATGTAAGCTTGGAAGACAGGGAGATCAGTAATGGAGAAACCCTGCACGCTGCTCTAATGGGAAGGACGGGTGTGATTGTCACCGCAGGAGCATCGTTAAGGAAGGAAACGCGCCCCACCCTTTGTCTGGAGCTTGGGATCTGCCTGCCTCCTGCCCGTACCTCTGCTGCACCCGTGGCCGCGCAGGACACGGCTGGTTTTCTCTGCGCTGAGCTTTGCAGCCTGGGCTGCCACCAGCCCCTCCGCCCTGACGCCCTTCGGAGTTACCCTCGGGCTGGACTAATCCGAGTGATTTTGTACCAACGGAAGCTTGTTTTGCCTCGGTGGCCATCCAGCCCTTCCCAGCCCATTTATGCACGTCAGGGACCGCATCTCCCCCCACGGGTCACCAGGGGACCCCGCACACAACTTCTCCACTTCACCGCGAAGCCTATCCACTTATTTCTGCTGTTCGTGTCTTACCTTTTAATAAGCAACTCATTACCTCTTTCCAAGCCTTTAGAGGAGGATGTTGCAAAAAGCTTTGAAAAAAATCTAGCTATGTATCAACTAGATCACCAGCATCCACAGAGTCACCGACTTCTTGAAAGAGCTTGGATCCGGCGGCAGGACTGCGCTCCAATTTGACAAGAGCATATCACGTCTATGCAAATATTTATTCAAAGGATATCTTCAAACATCCTTGATGCAAAAGTTATGACAGGTTGGAAGCCAAACCCTGCACAGCAGCCCTGGTAACATTTGGCAGCTTAAAACAAATGAAAAAAAAGGGAAAAAAAAAAGAACAATTTTGACTTTACCCTTAATGTGCTATGGCATGGTCTTTAATTATACCCTGTTACAAGGTGGTGCTTCTTATCCTGGAGCCCTGTCTCCTTCAGTGCACTGTGACACGGAATATTTAGTAGTGTCTTTGAAAAACCCAAAATATCATGGATCATAGATACTACATGATCCCAACCGTAGTTATTTGCATGGGAAATGAACAGACATTTTGGATGAACTTCAGAACTTACCCGGGGATATAGTAGGGATTGGGAGGGAAGAGGCTATTTTCCTTCGGGGCTGCCATGGCAATGCGGCAGCTCTTGGGGCGGGCGTGGGAGGAAGGAGATGCAGCACGATGCGGTCGCCCGGGAAACCTCTGTGATGCTGTTGGGAGCGATGTCGGTACCTGACAGCACTTCCAGCTGCAGCACACAGCTTGTCAGGTTTTTCTGGACACGTCTTTTTTTCCCCCCCCACCTGGAAATTTTGGATGAGCACAGAGGTTTTATAGCATTTGTCAGGTTTCCTGAAGGCTCGTAGCCCTTGGGACAGCAGCGCCAGATGTTCCCTGTAAGCAGCCCCAGCACAAATAGGTGTTCACGGTGCGGCTCACGTCCAACACGCACAACTCGGGAGAGCCTGGCTGCGTGTGCCCCCGTCACTGGTACAGCACATGCACAGCCAGGCCAGCGCTGCCTGCACACACACGGCCACGTGCACACCTTTCTGTCGAGGAAACCCCAAGGCAGAGATTGGGGGATTCACCGCGCTGCGGTGGAAGGCTCAACCCTCCTCTCCCTGCTCCTCGTTGCCCTCCCGGTCTGGCTGTTTGAGGATGCAATCCTTCACTGCCTTGCTTCATGCAGGATAAACGTTGTTCCCATTCCCGACATCGTACGGTCACGTTGTCTTGTGTGCAGTGGGTTTCACCCCCCTCCAGCTGAAGGCAGGCCCAGGACACGGGTCTCCTGTTTACTGAACAGCCACTGTGGCCAGTACGTCCTCAAGTCAAAGACCACTGCGCCTGTTAGCACCAGCATCGTTTCCACCAACGACAATACCAGCAGCAAGCCTGCTTCGCTGCCAAAGTCCCTCTGTGGCCTTGAAGAGCTCGGCCACGTGGCTGGCAGAATCATTTTAAGGTTTCAAAGCTACTAACCAGAAATCATAGAGTATTTGAGGGTTGTTCTAATGTATTTAGGTGCCTATACTCCACCCAAAATTTTATCTGAGGAGATAAAAACGCAGCTTTGACTCTTGCGCTTGGTGCCCTAAACACTTTGGGAGATCTGGAATTTCCAGCCTTTATATTTAAGTTTGCCCAAATACCTGAGCTCTAACCGGGGGCAGACCTCTCCAGCAACCCCAGGTCTGCAGGGCGGGTGGGTCTGACAGGTGTACGATGGCTCTTCAAGAGGTGCACAGTGGAAGACCAAGAGGTAACAGGCACAAGATGCAACAAGGGGGAGGCCCATTGGACGGAAGGAGAAAATTCTCCCCCGCGGGAGAGGCACAGCCCTGGCACATGGTGGCATCTCCACTCTTGCAGATCTTCAAAGCTCAGCTGGGGAACGCCCAGGGCACCCCAATGCAGCTTTGAAGTTAGCTCAGCTTTTAGCAGACAATTGGATTAGAGACCTACAAAAGGTCCCTCCCAGCCTAGATCTTCCTCTGAGTTTAATGTCAACATGAAAAAAAAAATTGCTTACTGGAATGCAGCACTGTATTCATAGCACCGAACAACGATCCCAGGCTGTTCCAGGTCCCATCACCCTCCTCAGCTCCTGAGGAGGCTCAGGCCAGCATCTTCAGAAACTCCCTTCAAAGCTCACTCCTTTAAATGGCCAGCGGCTGCTCCTTCCAAACCTGGGGGTCACAGACTTAAAGAGCTACTGAATAATCAGACCAAAATATCGGTCCTCAGTGCAGACACCTGGGTAAAAAAGTAGAAATTCACTTTTGTCAAGGTTATCGTTAGAATTTATTGATATGAGAGAAACTTCGTATGTCAACATGTCAACGGAGGAACAGCACGTCCTGACGTAACAGAATTACAAAGCCCATCCGGGTGACGTTACAGCGCTCTGGTATCTCCAAACTCTGAAGTACAGGAGATCATGCACACGGCTGTGTATTACCTAGGTACATTTTCTGGGGCAGGATAGAAATACTCCAGAAATACAATCAACGCGTGGTTTGCCAGCCACCAGTGCCCGACAGGCTGCAGCAGGGACCACGCTGGCTTTGACTCCCATCGCCCAGCTCCAGACAGACAGTGCACACGTGTAACAGCAGCTCACCCTGGGCCCCTCTAGTCAAAGAAGGAAAAAAAAAGATACCTATTTGGGGGTGAGATTCACCTGAGCCCGTGTAGCCCTCGCAGGGAGATGAGATGACTTGTACCCTCCGACTCCTTTATCGCGTCAAGGGGGCTCAGAGGACCAGCTCGGATGGAGACGCCTACACGCAGCCAGGGGAACCCCACGCCAGGTCTGCAGCAGGACAACCTGGGCACGGTTCTATCAACTGAGCTGCAACTGGGAAACTTCACGACGGAGTTTGCTCTGCCTGGGGAGCAGACACGGCCATGCCATGCTCCACCCTGGCATCTGCCAATTCAGAAGCAGGTTTTTTCTTTCAACGTTAACAGTCATAATTATCCTCATATTACAACTGTTTTGACGTTCTCTCTCTCAGCAGTGCCCTCTTACAGAGCTCGTAGCACAGACAGCCATTCACACCATGCTTCTGGCTAAGATAAAAATTATCTTTATGATCTTTACTGGAAATATATGCTATGCTGGATGCTGTCTAAAAAAAAGCCAAGTGCTGAGCTTTCATCTTCTCCCAGCTTATGAAACATTTGGTTTGGTCCTAAGTATCTTGCTAAACAATTAGAGAGGGAATAGCAGAGTATTCCCCAGGCACCTGGTAAATCCACAATGGATTTATTGTAGAAACAAGCTGAATTCTCTAACTCACTCCAAATGGATTTCAGAGCCCTCTAAAACCCTCCAGAGAATGAGCCGTTTGTGACACGACAAACAAAAAACAACCCCAAGTTCAATGAGTAAATTGTCTTACATTGTGCAGGGAGCATCCAAAATAAAACGCAAATCCAGACTAAGGGGATATGTCTGTCCCATCTCCCGATGCCAGATTTGATCACGGCAATAAAGGAGCCTGGGCCAAAGTGCATCTGCCTGGCCGATAGCACTAACCCTGCTGCAGACCTGAAGAGGAACCATTGATGCTAGAAATACACGTCTGAACGCGTGTGCACACGCATGTGCCGGGGACGACCCGTACTCTGCTGCTTTTCCTCTCGCGTAAGCTATGACAAGTGACATAGCGGGTTCTGCTCTCAGCCATTCGGTTTCACCAAATCTAAGTTCCCTCTGCACATGTAACAGCATTGACTTAGAGATCTCATATTAATGGGTACTTATACAGGATTAATTGCACATCAGTCCATTGTGGCTACAAGTTCATTAGGCTAATAAATCTACATAGTGACAGTAGTACAGTATCAGCTACTTTTCAATACAAACTCCCTACCCTAGCCTTAATTTGTAGGTCAAAAGAAGATCTTCTACCGTAGTGACCTTCCCATGACCTTTAACATTCATTTTCAAAATATTTTTTCTAGAAAAAAAATCCAGTGTGGGGAAAACGCACATATATAACAAAAGCAGTGCTTAACAACCACAGGAAAAAAGAACATGATCTTGGACTCTTGTATCAGCATCCTCCGTAGACCCTGGTAGCATTACTTCCAAAGGGTTGCTAAATCCAGCTCCGTCAGTTCTCAAGTCTGTTAAACCATTCCCTAGCTCTAGACATTTCTAGTCTCTCACTATACATATTGTCTGTAGCAAGAGCATACAGAAACACTTGCTAATGTGCACAAGACTTCCATTTGACTTAATGGAACAGTTTTAGAAGACTGAAGTCTTTACTTCTAGAAGTCTGTTCTTGAGTGGTAGCGCTCTCACCGACTGGTAGCTTTCTATTCCACCCAGGAGAGAGCTCCAAGTCCCTCAAAGTTTTACTCATTCGTTTTGCCCAAAGGTGTATGGGTATCTAATAAAACCCCTCTCACAGTATTCCCAGGAAATGATTCAGAAGAGGAGATGATTTTTCAACGAAATGAGATCCTCTGGTCCTGTGTGTCAGACCATGGCCAATAGAATGAGCAGCTGCCATGGACATCTCAACTTAAATACAGAACAGTCAAGGGAGGAGAGCAAGGTGGCCTGACCATCTTCCCGTGAGGTACAGGCAAAGACGACACCAAAGTCACTCCGTTCTCAACAGTTTGTCTCTTTCTGGAGTCAAATGTTTGATTCCATTTGTTCTAGCAGGAAGTGGTGAATCATGTCAAAAGTCGGACGATCTTTTATATCCCTGCTCCAACATTTCAGCATCAGGTCAAACACAGGGTTAGGACACAGAGGAGTCTGGGAGAGATAGATCTGAAAGGAAGAAAAACACAGCTATTTCAGTGGGGTTTTTTCCATAAAAGAATTGAACCTCTACTAAATTAAAACCAAAAGGACAGTTTCATTCTAGGTTTATAAGACAGCCACCATGCAATGTTTGAAATCCATTAAGCATGAATCTGGCAGTGAAGTCTGGATGGAGCTTTGACGCCAACTCAAATGGCACTGCAGACACTTTGCCAAATTGTTTGATGAGCTGGTCACAAAACAATCCTTTGTCCCCCAGGAAACATGAATGCTTCAGAGAGATTCGTCTTCCAAGTGACAGCAACACACAAACCAAAACCAAATTTACCACGATAAAATCCAAATACTTTCACTCACCGTAGACAACCCATGAGGCTTTCTAAGCATCGTGACAGCTTGTTAGCAGAGACAGAAAAAACACCTTTTAGAGCTTATCTAAAGCACAGCTTGGCAGAATTATTTTTTTCCCCCCTCTCATTTCAATACACATCTTCTAGGCTCTTCACTAAATCATAAGTATTTGGGAGACAGTGAATAGAATTATTCCATTCCCCTTAATCCTTTAACTTGTTTGGTGCTAAAGGTGAATTTTGGGAGAACAGCAAACAGCTGGCACTCCACTTTTTAGGGCACAGTGATCCTGAGTACTGAGGTGCTGGATTGTCCTGCATCATCACTAGCATCTATTGAAGGTGGCAGCAGTGGAGTGCACAATCCTGCCTGGGAGTTAGTAAGAGGACAATGACACAGAAAAGCCCTTCAGCACCTGGAGATGGCCAAAGGCTTCTTGGCCTATGTGGAGATATTACAGGGAATATCTAACCCCTGGGCACTAACAACTCCTCCTTCCCCACCTCAGTAAATGCTTCCTCATCTTTCAGAGAAAACACTAGTGGGAGAGAGATCTGACAAAGGAAAAGAGCAAAAGGATTGTGTAGGAGAGCCCAGCAAAGCTAAGGAGGACAGCACTGTCATCAAGGGCAGATTGAAATAGAAGTGGCTTATAAGGAAGAAGCACTGGACAGCGCCAAGAGGTTCTTCCAGTGGGACTCCAAGAGAGGAAAGCCGGTGCAATGAGTCTGGAGGAAGGGGAAGAGAGGCAGGACACGCTTGAAAAGATGAGTAATAGAAGCAGAGACTTCTGCAGATGATGTAAGGCCAGCAGAAAGGCCCTGTGGAGGTCCACTTGGATGTGACCAGGTCAAGTGAAGGAGGGAGAGGTCACATTTGCTTTCTTACCTGCCTGCCCTGGCTCCGGAAGAACTCTCCTGTGTTCTCGATGACTTGCTCATCTGAGAGGAGGCTGTATGGTTGCTCCTTACACAGTATGAACATCTCCCAGAGGGTGACCCCAAATGCCCAGACATCACTGGCTGTGGTGAACTTGCCCTGTGAACAGAAAGGATGTTGTAAGCCCAGGTTGCTCACAGCGCACATTCAACAAAAACCGTTTCAGTCTACACTCCCTGCAGCTAAACACAAGGATGCAGAATTCATACCTGGGAAAATGCTCTCAAAAAGAGACAGCAGAGCAGGTGACCTGCTCTTGGCAATGCACAGAGAGACCAAGGTACGACACTGTTGCTTTGTGGAACAGGAGCAGCATGTCTGTGGGACCCAGGGACAGCTTTCACTGGGGCAAACCTCTTGAAACAGGGAGCAAGTCTCAGAGAAAGCCAGAGGCTACTGTCCCTCCCGAGAAAGTCTGTATTTGTCTACAGCAGTAGGAAAATGGACTGTGGCAGGGGGGGGATAACTGATGCCTACCTCCACCCAAAACGCAGTAGTGCAGCACAGAAAAGCCTTTGAACAGGAAGGAAAGCCCTCGGGGTGAAAGCGGAGCTGAAGCAGACTCCAGACTCTTAGAGAAAGGCCAAGATAATGTTGATCTTTGCGCATGTAGTAAGTTGGTTACAGTCTGCTCCCTGTCCCTGTTTTCTGTCTTCGAAAAATGTGCCCAAACTGGCCGTGTTTGGAACAATGTGCTTCTGAAGAAGTAAAAAGAAGCTAAAAATTGCTCAGAAAATAACAGACAACTGGGGACTGGAGGGCCTGTTTAGGCAGAAAACATCCAAGACCTGGATTGCCCAGGCTTATCCAGCAACCCTAGCAGTCTGTCCATGTTTGGAAGATGTTCACACAAGGAAGATGGGAGTGACTTATGGTTTAGATGCAGCTGTGACCAGGAAAATAGGGTGAATTTAGAAAAGCTCAGGCCTATCAGCCTTTATAAGGAAAAGGAGGCTCAGGGGAGACCTTATCGTGCTCTACAACTACCTGAAAGGAGGTTGTAGCAAGGTGGGTGTTGGTCTCTTCTCCCAAGTAACAAGCAATAGGACAAGAGGAAATGGCCTCAAGTTGCGCCAGGGGAGGTTTAGATTGGACGTGAGGAAAAGTTTCTTTACTGAAAGAGTGGTTAAACATTGGAACAGGCTGCCCAGGGAAGTGGTTGAGTCACCATCCCTGGAAGTATTGAAAAGACGTGTAGATGAGGCGCTTAGGGACATGGTTTAGTGGGCATGGGGGTGTTGGGTTGACAGTTGGACTCGATGATCTTAGAGGTCTTTTCCAACCTTAATGATTCTATGATTTTATAGCAGAAGTAATTACAATTTTTCTGGGTACTCGGAGGGGGCATTGTAAGAAAGTACAACAGGTGATCTCACCAACTAGTCTGAGAAAGAAATATGGGGCTGAATATTAAGTAACTGCCTCCAGACTGCATGTGTTTGGGCTATTGAACAATCTCCTAAGGGAAGACAGCAGGACTCTTAAACATGAAACAAAACCCCAACCTCAAAACCAGACTTGGCACTTGAAACTCATGAAGTTCTGTCCCTGTCCCACTCAGCTTCACAGCTGGGGAAATAAGCACAAAAAGGCAATTTCTT